GCGACGTTATGAAGAAAAGGGCGCGTGCACTGGCTGCCTAGACAGACGTTCGCATATGCCCAGGCAACCGCGCCGCTATTATGACCGTTGTAGGTATAGTATCCGAGTACGGGAGACTACTGTACACTGTGAGATTACCTAGGTCTAGTATGGCGTCACCGATAAGTCTTGCAAACTTCTTCACTTTCTAATCCGCGGCCTCCGGCTTATTGTCTCGTCCTGATTTCTCATCTTAAGGCCTTCTTTTGCAATTGGTGGTCCGACGGACTCCGAACGGAATCAACGGACATCGCCCGGCTCCCAGTTCGCCTTCTTACTCACACTTCTCCCTCAACAGAAGCCTTGTGGCCAATTTTCGCTGAGGTATTTAGCCTCGGGAATCAAGTATGACTCTTACCCGTCTACCTATTGCCCAACAACCTCGTTGTCGCAGCTTGATTGGACGCCTAATGGAGCATGTGACAACGTGTTAGCGCGTTTGGTGGGACGTGTTACGTGTCTTGATGCCTGATGTGCCGTGTCTTGCCGCCCGCACGTAGCGGTAGATGGAAGATGGATGCAGGATATGTGGAGCTGGATGGAAACAAGATAGAAGATGTCAGGATTAGAAATGACAAGTGTGGCGGTGCAGGGCTAGATCCTGCGGGTGGCACGGGTGTGGGATCGTGGCGTCGATGCCTAGCGGCGGCGATCATGCTGGACCTGCAGGCGCATACGCGACACGCTCTCTCGCGTGGACTTGCATCGTGATTATTGACGTGACATCCTTGTCTTGCAATCGCCTTCTCCGCGATTCTTTTCAGTGCCATACTTCATGAGCCACAGTATTATGATTGTAGGACACGACTTTGGGTTAGTCGGGTCCGCGCAAGTATGACAGCGCATAGAGATGACGCTTTCTCGACTGTGCCTCAGTCTGCCGCCCTTCGCGCTGCTGATCACGAGTACGACACAACAAGCTATACGCTCATTCTCGCTATCAACTCTACACCATGACGTGTATGCCGACGGACAGCTTATCCGACAGCACAGCGTTCTGTCCACGTCACCGAACCCGTTCGTAAATCACGCTCGCCAGCCCCTCGCTGTGCGACGCCTGCTACCACCGCTTCAAAGCTCTGTCTAAGCATCGTTCCATGGTCGAACATGCCTTGAGTTATGGCTACAAGAAGAGCATGTACGAATGACAAGCGTCGAACGAGCTGTTGTCCAAGAATGTGTTCTCAGCTGTGATCATCAGTTGTTATACACCGAGTATAATAATGGAAAAACTCCTTGTTCCTTCACATACGACCATAGGACACTGAAAATTAGTTCACCCTCGCCATCCGTCAAAACTCACGGTGCCGTGTTGAGGTCAATTAACTGAGGTTGGTCTTCGGTTACCCGTTTCAGGAATCGCGACTCCGTCCGCAGCCCCCACCACCATAGCCCCGAATGACCATTAACAGTCATTCACCATTCCTGTATGCGTATAACAGTACTCGCTGCAATAGCAGCGCACTGGTTTAAGGATGAGTTGCCGCCAGGATCGGGCTCACAACCTTCCTGTCCTCCTCACATTGTCTCAGCTGCAGTGCTACTCCCTCTACGGTCCTAACTTCTCCGTGTGCTTACTATGGCGCCCAAGAAGAAAAGTAAAGATCTTGCGCACTTGCACTCTCTTGTTCAGCTCGAGGAAGAGCCGACTCCGCTCACGCAGGAAGACGTGAAAGCTATGTTGATTCCTTCAAGCTACAAGTCACACAAGTACACTATGGATCTCTGGATAGAGTAAGTCAAGGGCTGGCATTAGGTGCAAATCTTTTGCTAACAAGCTAGATTCTTCGAAACCTTCTACCCTGACGAACCCGTAAACCCTAAGTTTGGAGAAGCACCCGCTGTGTACCGTATTAAGATGCACCTGTTCTGGCTTGCTGCAACAAGAACTGGCCAGCTGGACGAGAACATCACAGACACTACTCTTCGAAACCGCCTGTCTTCACTCAAACGAGCCATCAAATTATACACTGGTTACCAATATAGCTCCGCGCAGAACAAGGAGCTAGAGAACTACATCACGAAAGAGCTCGTACATAAAGAGAAGATTGGAACTGGGGCTTATATCAAGCCAGTGGCTCCTTTGCTCGTCGCTGAGGATTTGATCCAATTTATGTGGGTGTGCGACGAATATCAATTTGCGCATCCACGTGCACGTCTGCAGTTGGCTTTCTCCATCGTCCTCATGACATATTTGGGCAGTCGCCCAGGAGAAATCATCGAATCAGCAGCCTGGAAACACAGTAATGAGGGGCTCCTGTATGGTGACATCACTCTCGTACGTTTCCAAAATGAAGAATACGTAGGGTTTCTTCTTCATGTCAAGTTGCGCAACCGAAAAGGACACCGCAACAACAAAAAGCACTCGTAAGCAAGGATCCTCCAAGCGCAAAAGACTCAACTCTAAGAAAAAAACAGACCTGTAATGCTTCTCTACGAAGAACCTACGCGAGCTCTATGTCCAGTCACACATTTTTTGGCGTTAGCACTAGCAGACGGAGTGTTTGCGGACTGTCAGTCTTTCCAAGACGTTGCAGCACAGCAACTGCCACCAGGTAGTAAACTGTACAAATATCGCTACAAGCCGGAGGCGAAGAAAAGACCTATCCTTCGAGGTATCTGCCACAACGGCATAGTCTCCGAAAACGATATCCTCACATACAATTGCTTCAACAACATGATCAAGGGTCTTGGACAACGGGCTGGGTACGAAGACAGGCTGAGTGCATATTGCTTCCGCAGGGCTTATGCTGTAGCAGTAGAGAGTATGTATCACACGATGATATGATGCTTGCTTTCAACTGACCATCTAAAAGAGACGGCAACTCCAGCTCAGAGGAGGTTACTTATGGGTCATTCCAACGATGATACGGTCTTGTATTACATTTCCGGCATCGTGGGAGTTGATAGCCAGTCCATGATCCATGGGCGAGAGCAAAAGACCAAACTCATTGACGAAAACACTTCTATGATGTCGAAAAGGAATCTTCTTGCACCAATGCCTCCCGGATCTCAACTCACCGACCGTGTCATACCAAAAGCCAAGGAGATTAGTAAGACTGTTAAGGAAGTGAGTTTATTGGAACGAACTTCAAGCCAAGAGTATGCTATACGACGGCAATTCCGAAAAGTCGCGTACCGTAAGCAACGGGAGGCTTTTTTCGGGGGGGAGAGTACTAGTTCTTCCGATGCTGCAACATCATCGACTTCTGGACAAACCACAACAAAGCCTTTACGTACTCCATCGCGATATCTGCAAGCTCTATTGAAGTTTGAGCCTGAACGGAAAGCTATGTCGAGACTGCTTTACCCCGGCTGCGCTACAGCAGCTGATATCGCGGCCGAAGGAACTAAGATTTCGCTCGATGTCATACTCGAGCCAATGGTGAAAATCTCTCGTCCGGAGAAGAAGCGGTACGCCTATGCTTCTGCTTCACCCACTAAGGAGAACCGTTGTGGTGTGTGTGGACATCAGTTTCATAAGAACAACAAGAGGTACGTACTCCGCATTATGTTGTGTGCTCTACTAACGATGGCAGATCAAGGCCGGATCGAATGAATGAGCACTTACTTCATTGTGCTCGCAAACAACACATACAACATGCACGAGAACACATGGACCGTCAATTCGCCTACATTCACCGTTGTGCTTGGTACGACTGCAATTTCAGCTTCCGTGGAAAATCTTGCGGGACCAACTCTTCTCATGTGACGAGGCATATCCACGATATACGCAGTCACCAGTGTCTATGGAATGCGTGCCTCCAGATTTTCCAGGGTTACGAGAAGCTTGCTCATCACGTCTCTGAAGAGCATCGAGTCCCTAACGATTGGACTATGCTGACAAAGATGCACTACTGTTACGAGCACGACGAATGGTGCCGCTCAGACGAGCTGTGGTCACAGCATCTTGAACTATACCACCTCTTGGAACTCAACAACTTCTGCGGCATCATCCGGCTTGATGGTGTGATTATAGTTGCCGGGCATTGCCTCTTATGCTTAGGCGATACGAATGCGCCGTTGCCTGATCGCTTTCTGCAATTTGACAGCGCTTTCAATCTGCATACCCATATGAGAAAACATCTAGCTCAACTAGATGTTCCTCCAGCTGTTTGTCCGCACCCGCACTGCCAAAGCACACTTGGCTCTGAGGAAACGTTCTGGAGCCACGCAGAAACCGTCCATGGCATGCCGCCTTTTGGCCCTCGCCGAACAACGGGAAAGCGCAAAACACCAGACGAGCTTGAGGATTCTGGAGATTACGCGTCACACACCGCTGACAGCACGCCAGACCCGCCCAGCAATGACATTGATCCATCATGTAGGGTTGCGGCGGGCGATCATTCAGCGGCAATTTCGGACGAGGCAGTGTCAGCCTCCGGCGCTTAGTGACAGGATTAGAAACGCAGAGAGTAGCTAAACCTAGAAATACATGGCCTCGTGACTCAGCTAGCACGTCTTCGTCGCTAAAGCATAGGCGAACATAATGATTGCAAGGTAACAGAAAGGAAAGCATTGTATCAAACAATTTGGCTTCATAGTCTAATCTGCATGTGCGCCAATGCACGTTCTGACAGCTGACGAGATGGATGCGTGGCCGCCAGCGTAGTCTTCTGGACCTTAACGACGTGCTCTAGCAGCACCGCAGCCTCTTTCGTTTGCCCATTTATCATCATACGCATCAGCAAGCGCGTGCTGCGATGCCGCGCCAGATACAAAAGTAATGGTGACTTGGATGCTAACTTACCGCAGTAGGATTTAGAAATGCGAAGGTGTTTACACATTCAGAATTACTTGGGAAAATTGTCGGCCACAGATCCATTCCGTACGTTCTTGGAGCACGTTTATCCTATTGAGTCCCAGCACTTACCGATATCAGCTAGGCCAGAACCACAATCTTTACCTCAGGCTGGCTTTCCTGGGAGCGCGGGTCTCGAAGGAGAACTACGTAGTATTACTCACTCATCGACACTCGTCTCTACTTCCTTGCCTTGCTGGGCCTCCAAAAACTCCCAAACCTCAGTTTGCCCTTCCATCCTTGCAACATTAGCAGCCGTATATCCTCCTTGGTTCTTGATAAGTAGAGATGCTTTCCATGACACTAGCAGTTGTACCACGTCTAGATATCCATAGCTCGCAGCCCATATCAGAGCTGTACGACCGTAGCTGTCTTGGCGGTCGATTTGGACGCGGCGGGTTGAAAGAAGCGCTTCCACAGTCGCTGGGGACCGGACAAAGAGTGCCCATAACAATGGCGTCCAAGCGTCGATATCGACGTCATCTTCACCGCCACACTCATTCTTGAGTAAAGTGCGCAAAGTGTTAGTATGCCCTCCTTGACATGCCCAGGAGATCGCATTCCGTAGGTCTTTGTCTTTAGCGGCTTTATCAATCCCTGTTTTGTGCATCAAAGTACTGACCACTTCACTTTGACCATTCCTCGCAGCCCACAACAGTGGAGAGTGCCCCTCGACATCCCTGAGATTGAGGTCAATAGAGGGGTGTCGAAGTAAGACCTTCAGAGCTCGTCTTGCGCCTTCCCCCGCCGCCCAGGATAGTACTGAGCGCCCATGTTTGTCAACTTGATTGATATTGATCAACGGCTGCTTCAGCAATAGTTGCACAATACTTTCATGGTCTCCTGACACAGCCCAGAAGAGTGGCGTCCAACGTGCGTTATCCTGGTCGTCTATTCTGAACGCTCCATATTCAAGCAGGGCTTCAACAACCTCTAGGTGGCCATTGCCCGCTGCAAATGACAGTGCTGATCTTCCAGATTTGCCTTTGGAAGTAACGTCTGTACATGGCTCGTTGAGAAGCATCTGGACAGCATCTACATGGCCATACTGCGCCGATATAGTTAAGGGTGTTTGTCGGTCGATACCAATGCCATTAGGGTTTGCGCCATGCTGAAGCAACACCTTAATACACTTTAGAGAGGACATCCTCGCTGCCCAGAATAGTGCCTGATGTTTTCTTGCATCGTTGTCAAACTCTGCCTTCTTTATAATTTCGGAAAGCAGCATAGCTAGGTTAAAGAATGCAGCTACTTCAATTGTCTCGAAAGTATCTGGAAACGAGTATTCTATGTTATTTTTGATCCAGTAGTATTTCAACCAGTTTGTCAACACGTAGCTGGGAGTCGTCGTCAATCGACTAACGGCCTCTCGGACAGACTTCGTGGCGATGTCTTCGCATAAGGAGTAGTGCTCTGCCCAATGTGTCGCAGCATAATCAAAGAACCTGTATTTCTGGGCGATCAGAGTGCATTGCTCCTCATCTAAATCGCGCGAGTCCTTAAAAAAGTTATTTAGGCCGAGATGATCGTCTGGGTCGAGAGGGCCGCCTGAGGCCATTGCATCGAAGTCCGCGTATGGCAATGAGTGATATGAATTGGGCGAATTGGTCTCGAGGCTCGTTCTTTCTGACGCAAAAATGTCCAATTGGAATTCCTCTAGGAGCAGATACTGTATACATGCTTGTGACATGCCCAGCGCTGCATCCGATAAAGGAACTGCAAGGCTCTGTACTGACCCGTCTGGAGAACGAAGTGCGAGGTCTGTTAGATATTCCTTAGCGGACTGGTGTATGAGCGAAACTTTTGAGTCCTCGTGGGAGATCTGATTCATCTCTCTGATGCGGACGAAGGACCCCACAACGTTCTGTAGCGTTGAGCTGATAGAAATCTGCAAATCATTTACCACATCGGCTACAGATTTGTGGTCTTGATCAATCGTGAACGCAGTGTTTATCTCCACCAATGTCAAGTGTCTCGAGCTTCCAATGAGCAGACGTAGTATCTTCCCAGCATCTTCTCGATCTCCAAATGAGATTCCACGTAAAAATCTGTTATAGGTAGCTTCGAGGTTCTGGGGGAACGTGTCGATGATTCGTTCGAAATCTCTCTTTGACGCTTTTGGACTTGTTTCCAAGCTATGTAATACCATATTCAACCAGAGAAAACTCTGATCAGACCTGGAATACAGCACTCGCTCTAGATAGCTCCTCGTGTCGTCGTCACAATGGAATTTGTTCGCAATCTCGCCGACCTTGCTTCGAATGACCAGCTTCACGTCTTCGATGACATTGCCCTGATCTTGCTCGATTGGTAGTCTATTTTTCATCAACCCCGTGAGGTTGTATGAATTGCCGAGCGATGGGCGACTGGTTATCAGAAACTTAATGCAGTTTTGGGACTGTGGATGTACATCCTGTGGCTCGTTTACTAGCCGCATTATGGCGTTAAGGAAGCTGTTGCGCGTCTTTACTTCACACTCATCAATCGCGTCTACTATGATTCTGACCGCGCCTGATGTGGAATCGGTAATTATTTTCAGGAAAAGTTCCCAGAGCGCTGGGAAGGAGTTCGCAAGACTAGGCCCGTCCAATTCGAATCGAGTTTTAACGTATTTGATGAGTTTTCGGCGCTGTTGTACGATTTGATACAGGATAGCTCGGAGTATAGCGTTTGCATCTCTCTGAGATTTGACTTTGTCGTCGCAGAAGAAGAAAAAGACTTGAGACTTGGCAGAAGTAGCACGATCCAGTCTTAGGTGGTCTGTCAGATATGCAGAGAGCATGGTTTTGCCACAGCCAGGTTCGCCTGTGATCCAAAGTAGTTTTGTTTCTTCAGCAGTTAGCCAGGCCAGATATGCAGGGTGGCTCAGAATCCAGCTACAGGTCCCCTGTACCGGTGTTGGTAGTTGTGCTTTGTACTCTGCAAGGTAGATTGAGTTCAGCAGGACCATACAAGATCTTTCAGTTTCACTTAAAGCTGACAAATTGCTTAGCTGATGCTGTCCCGTAATTTGTCTTTCGTTACATACACTGGTTGGATGATGTGCGGTCTGCTTTCATTGCCATCTCTCGGTTTAAGAGGGCTGTTCTGGTCAATCGTTTCATGACATTTAAGGTATAACTGTAACCGTCATCCGTTGCCCCTTCAAAACGACACATCGTTCTGTGATTCGCGAAAAGTGGTATAATATCTTCGCCTGGTATTTCCATTATGGCGGAATTTTGATCAACTACCTATATTTGATGCCATGTTAGGAGCTACTTTATGGATATATGTTTCTCTGGAAATAGTCTCACCAATTCGGAAAGCCCGGGCATTGTCTCCGTTTCATAGAAAGTAACAATCTCTAAGTTTCTCAGACGGTTTCGGGAAGAAACGGCAAGATCGCTCAGTGCTTGGGAATTAGATCCCAGGGTTGTGAGAAGGTCATCTCGTATAGACCCGGCTATGCCTGCAATCCGAGATGCGCGGGAACACATGTTGACGACTCTTCCCACTATTTTTCCAATATCGGCTCCTTTCGAACCGCGGTGTGGTGTTCCAAAGAAAACAATAGCTGAAGTAGCAGATAATATGCTACCGTGTAAATGGTCGTCCTCATGTGCTAGAACAAGAGCCTGAAAGAGAGGTCAGGATCTTATTGGTACAGTACTGGCGAGCTTCTTACCTGTTTGCACACTATGCCTCCAAGGCTGTGGCAGATGAATATTATCGGACGTTGTTTTCCTTCCGAAACGGCTTTGAGAGAGTTCAAGAGATTCCCGGAATAGTCTCGTAAGGTGGCCACTGAGTTGCTCCAAAAGAGCTCAGATGGATACCCATAGGTGAATACGCGAGACCCTGGAAGAGCACTCGGAAGCAGGTCTCGGAGCCACAAAGTTCCGTTCTCGTGTTGCCATGTTGTATAAGCGTCCCCATTCAGTCCATGTATAGCCACGATATCCACTCCTATATGGTCTTTCGAGTCTTCAGGCAGCTCGTTTTCGTTGAGAAGGAAGAGTCCGTAGGGCTTTGTTCGTACGGTGGCTGGCACTTGGACCTGCGGGAACTGTCGCTGGGGAGGTTTCTAAGAGATCTTAACGTCAGGAGTGGGTTCCATGGCTTGCTTGCAATGTTGATTCGGACAGGTACTAACCTCAGGAGCTAGCTCTTTCCGTCTAAGTTTCCGTAGTCTGTTGCGCAACTCCAGCATCACGTTCGATTTGGACGGTCTGCCCCGCGACGTAACGATGATTAACCTACGGCAAATGAAGCTGTGAGAAGCAGACTCGAACTGTTGTAATCTGGAGCAGTTGGGACAGGAAAGATCGTACCTGCCGTTCCTCAGCGGCGCATGCCTGTGCCGCAGGCTTACCTCACTAGTCCCAGTTCGTAATGGCATGCTAGTTCTTATTATGCACTCCGACGTGCCGATTTGTGGCCAGTTTAGCCAATCATGATCCAATATTAAGCGCGGGGACAGCGTCACCCCTTCTGTCTCCCGAGCCTGATGTTTTCAAGGTTGAAAACCTCGCATTAGGATTAGTGACCACATATGAAAGTGAATTAACTATCTGTAGTCTATCACCCGTTGCTATTGTGAAGTTCGCTAATATAGGAACCGTGTTAGGGTTTAAAGCTCGAAATCTCTACGAAAATGTTCATTACCGTAATGTCCGTGCACCTTGAGGGACCGTGCGCCGCATGAGGGGTAATCTGATCATATGTTCCCGCGAAACATTACGATCTTGCATCAATACAATCGACGTTATGGCTACGACCAGGTTAGTATGGCACTTTTGACAAATCTGTTTCCCCAATGCTGAAAGTAGTAGTCCAACCAACAAAACCCTAGCCGTGGTCGGCTCTGGAGCCAACACAGCTACAGGGAATCTGATCTACATGGTAACCTTTTTCCGATCATCGAATATAGAATTTCGGCTTACAGGCGATAGCTTGGTGGCATAGATTTGCAAACTCTTGCGAAGCTGCAGGAAAAGGGCATAGATTCTTACGAAAAGGCTGCGCAAGAATTAAGGGACACAAATGAGGAGCTGTACTTCTACACCCCGCGACACAGGGTCACTATCAAAGGTAGTTAACTATCATCAATCAGACCTACACCATACCGCGCGCCGCTGACATGGTTCAAAGATCGGATTTCATCTGCCGATGGCCTTCTTCTCGTTGTAACGCCACCTCTTCAGGCAGCCGACGCATTTTTCACTGGGGATTTCGTCGATGAGGTTAAGGGCTCAGAGTCGCTCTTCGCAAAGGGGAAGGCAATAATCCTGGTTAAGACTCCGTATGAAGTCCCCAATCATTCGCTCCACCTTCTATTACAACTTGACTAATGCTACTAAGTGAAAACCACGACTGGTCGGAAAGTGTGTACAACGACTTAGTGCGAAGTATAAGAACTGCGCTTCAACATCTTGGCATCTCGGCTGGAAGGTACGTACACTACAGTTTCCAGGATATCAGAAGAATTACTCATTCAGTGCAGTACTCCTATCGTTCCAAGTAACCTTCGAGGTGAGAATTTTATCGAACCGTCTCTCAAGACTCCTTGGTATACCAACGTCACGCTGGTCACCGGTCTAGATAAGATTCTCTCATAAGATGTTCGTGAATCAACGTCTTCCGGGCGTTGGGACCTCTAGGCAATCATATTTCGAGACTGACGAAAGCTTCAAATGATTTGTGGGTGCGTTGCTTAGCTAGGAGATAAGTTTCGAGGACTCAAAGGCTGCAAACATCCAAAGGTGGTTTACCGGTTTTGTTAGGCTAGGCTAAAAGCATTTGAGCTTCCTATATCTCCTAGTTATATACTGTAAAGTTGCGGGGTAGACAACGCTAGAAGGCTCAGCTGGCTGCGCTTCTTCCTAAATTGTTTTGTGAGTCAATATCAGCCTGCACGGCTGCTTCGTGAACGTGCCTGCCTTCAATATACTAGATCCGAAGCCGTAATGTCAATCCAACCGTGCCGGGACGCCTGGTGTAACGGGACGCTTTCTCTTCCGGACCCTCGGATTATCCCTAGCGTTCTTAAATACAGACGAGTGCCATGCGCATCTATTCTGCAGCTCTCGTTCTCCTAGCACATTAGTCTCCGACGCCGAAAAGCGCGTTGTTGGATATGTTGTCGCCCGTTCTGTTAATGCTGTCGGCTGACCCCTCTATAACACTCCCCTGTTCGTTCGCGAGAGTGCATATCTGTAGAGAGCTCGGTGGACTAGAAAAGTAGCCGAGATGGCAAAGATTAAGACTGCAGCCTCGAAAGGTCGATTTAGGGTAAAAAGGATACATCCCGGCAGTTTCGCCGCACAAACAGCAAGATCGTCAAAACGCGTCCAGCCGGCCGTGCACCGTTAGTAGCTCTTGGCATGCAGTAGCTTGCAGTAGCGTGTTCATATGTCGCAGTACGCTATCGTAATGAATTTAAGGCTATTCCATATCCAGTCAGTTTCTAAACATAACTGTGGCGTATGCCAGCGGCTTCCTGCAAGCGTGTACACCAACATACTTAACTTGCTTGCATCGTACCTACACGTCCTAAGACCCTATCATGCCACCCTTAGTTACTTGTGCCTTCTCTTCAGTTCCAAAAAAAATCAAGCAAAGAAAAAGCGAGACCTATCCTAGAGTTGTTGAGTAATGTAACATAACGGCAGTTACCTCTTCTAACGGCTCTCCAAGTTTCTAGGCGGCAATAAAGGGACTACATATTGGTGTGCATCCCCATCCCTCTTCATCGAGTATAGGTTTACAAAAAGAGACTGAGAAGAGAAGGACAGACCTGTCCTCATAGCGACAAACATACGAGCGACCTAAAGGTCTACACTACAGATCCACACTCTTCCAGACCCAACGCCCACACCAACCATAGTCCCACACACAGACGAATGCGACGGTCGATACTCAGATGGTATCCACAGCATGTTGTTGCCAGCATGCTGGACCCAGATGCCGTCTGAGCTAAAACCAGTGCCTAGGTACATAGGGCGCGCAGGTTCTGCCAAATCCATCCTGCTAGAAGTCTCTAGGCTCTGAATGTCGATAGTGCCTATTTCAGTGTAGAGGCGAGAACCAGTGAGATCAAAGGACAAGTCGTGGAGAGTTCTGCCAACGTCGAGCGTGTGCAGGCACACGCCGCTGCTCGCATCCCACATCTTGACGGTGCTGTCGTAGGACGCCGACGCCAGCCGGGTCGAGTCGTGCGAGAAGGCCACCGAGCTGACAACACTGCTATGGCCCTCGAGCGTCTGCAGACACGCGCCGCTGCTCGTATCCCACATCTTGACGGTGCTGTCGTCGGACGCCGACGCCAGCCGGGTCGAGTCGTGCGAGAAGGCCACCGAGCTGACATATCTGCTATGGCCCTCGAGCGTGTGCAGACACGCGCCGCTGCTCGCATCCCACATCTTGACGGTGCTGTCGTAGGACGCCGACGCCAGCCGGGTCGAGTCGTGCGAGAAGGCCACAGAGTTGACATAATCGCTATGGCCCTTGAGCGTCTGCAGACACGCGCCGCTGCTCGCATCCCACATCTTGACGGTGCTGTCGTGGGACGCCGACGCCAGCCGGGTCGAGTCGTGCGAGAAGGCTACCGAGCTGACAGAATCGCTATGGCCCTCAAGCGTGTGCAGACACGCGCCGCTGCTCGCATCCCACATCTTGACGGTGCTGTCGTGGGACGCCGACGCCAGCCGGGTCGAGTCGTGCGAGAAGGCCACAGAGTTGACATAATCGCTATGGCCCTCGAGCGTGTGCAGACACGCGCCGCTGCTCGCATCCCACATCTTGACGGTGCTGTCCCAGGACGCCGACGCCAGCCGGGTCGAGTCGTGCGAGAAGGCCACCGAGCTGACAACACTGCTATGGCCCTCGAGCGTGTGCAGACACGCGCCGCTGCTCGCATCCCACATCTTGACGGTCTTGTCGCCAGACGCCGACGCCAGCCGGGTCGAGTCGTGCGAGAAGGCCACCGAGCTGACATAATCGCTATGGCCCTCGAGCGTGTGCAGACACGCGCCGCTGCTCGCACCCCACATCTTGACGGTGCTGTCGTAGGACGCCGACGCCAGCCGGGTCGAGTCGTGCGAGAAGGCCACCGAGCTGACATATCTGCTATGCCCCTCGAGCGTGTGCAGACACGCGCCGCTGCTCGCATCCCACATCTTGACGGTGCTGTCGCCAGACGCCGACGCCAGCCGGGTCGAGTCGTGCGAGAAGGCCACCGAGCTGACAACACTGCTATGGCCCTCGAGCGTCTGCAGGCACGCGCTCCACTCATCGCTCAGAGCTGGCCTAATACTGATTGCTTCTGGCTCTTCGTGCTGGAACAGCTGTCTGATCAGACTACCTGTCGGACTGAACAGGAGTGCGGATGCATAGGTCTGAAGAGGGTAACCCTCGATTGCTCCTTTGTGGTACATAATGAATCGCCATGCGTCTTGAACGAGCCGCGCAAGTCTATCATGGTCACACATCTCCTGCCAGCGTTAGCGTCTAGGTCGAACGAAAGGCATGTAAATCTTATGCGACACACCTGCACCAGCGACCGCAGTTTTCCCATCGAGACGACGCCTTTCCCTACGCTCTTACACAGACTAAACCCCTCTAGCCAGTAGAGATACTTCTCTCTTAGAAACTCGTCGACTGCGTCTAGGACTTGCAGTTCAATGACACTGCTCGCTAAAGATTCAGGCTTCGACTCGCACAGGTGATCAACCCAGTAGATGCACGAGTAGCGCGCGGTCGCCAGTGGATCAGGATCAGGTGTTCGGACTTCATCGATCGAGAAGCCCGGCTTGACCAAATTGCTCATGTCGCGTTTCAATTTGCTAGACAGTAGCTCGAGTGACTTAGCAAACAGGCTATGGTGCATCTCGCTCTGGGACGGAAGGGTTCTAGCTCGCATCTTGTCGCTCAGATAGTCCTTGGCTGACTGATGAACGAGGTAGACTTGTTCGTCGCGAACCGTGAGAAACGATCCGCACATGGCTACAATCTTTCTTACAGTCTCCGCTACCATTGCAGCTCGACCTTCGGACCTGCACAGGCTGCCCATCTCAGCAAGGTAGAGCGGACGATATGCGACAGCTGTAGTACAGAGTAGAGACTGGCAGATATCCGCATTCCTTGCTGACAGCCGCTGGATCTGCTCTATCATGCGATCGTACAGCTGATGTAAGCCCGCTGGCGCTTCCTCAGCCACGGCGAGAGGGTCCCAGCTCTCAGGCTTCTCAAGCTCTTGCATCACCAAAGCTACCCAAAGAAAGGTGCCGTTCGCCTTCCGGTGCAGCTCATCCCGCACCTGCTTTCGCAGATCCGCTTCTCCGTGTGACTCGAGACAAGACAGCTTGTGGTCGATATATGCATCTACAGCTCGAGCTACCTGCTCCGCGTTCTGCTTCAGCTCCAGGCTCAGCTTTGATTCATCACCGACCGACTTGAACTTCTCCTCGATATGATTCTCGTTTCGACTTGACACGAGCCACTTTACACGAAGAGACAATGTGCTAGTACGGACGATAAGATCAAGGAGCTTGGGCAGGTCCACCACGCATTCGTCGAGAGCATCAACGACAAGATAAGTTGCCTTCAGCCCCCTGTCCTGCGTCATGCTTGTGAAGATTTCAGACAGCGCTACCCAAGCATTCGCATCTTCGAACAGGGCTTTGCCTGCACAATCGTACTTTTTGCGGATATGCGACATAAGTGACGGTTGCTGATCCACGAGCATATACAGCAGTCCTCTTATCACGCCCGTAGCGCTGTTGATGCGCGCGTCGGTCGCTTGACAGAAGAAGTACGACAGTAGGGCACTTTGGGGCATCGAACCTTGCAATTCGTTGATGAGGCCGCAGAGCAACATCGTCTTGCCTTTACCAGGATCTCCTTTCACCCATAGCAGCCGGCTGTGCGGGTCCTGTTGCCATTGCTGGAAAGTGGTGTTGTCGAGGACCCAGCGATAGGAGTCTGCTAGCAGTCCTCCTTTTGTATCCTCAATGCGTTTCTTGTCGTCACGAGGATCACCGGAACGTAGGTCACGGAGGCAATCTTTCAGCTTCCGAATCTCATCGTGAAGTCGTCTGAACGCTTCCTCTTCGCCTTCGCCATACACAGGCGCGATATCCACATCACATATGCCTGACATTGAGTATGCCATATCCTCTTTTAGCTTCGTCCTCCTGTCCCCTTTCCAACGTAGGCGCTCGTTGACGTCGAACTGGGAAAGAGTGCCTCCTTCAAATACTTGGTGTGGAATGCCAGTAGTTTTGTTGATCAATGAAATTAACGATGTCTTGTCACCAAGCCTCTCCCATTCTTGAGAGAAGAACTCAACTGTGCTTGGCGCGAGAAGCTCTTGGAGCGTCCAGCCACGCGTGAACCATCGACTTGACCTGAAGGCTGGCTCCCAAGTGACCTCGGTGGATATGCTGTCGGCTTCCCTCTTTTTTGTCGATACGTCTGATAGGTATACGTAGCACTTCGCCGCGTTTTGGTACCAGCGAAACATAGACTGAATAGCCAAAGAGAGCTCAGCCTTGTCCGACTTGTCGATGCAGCAGGTGTCGACCCAGAAGTACTGCAGTCCATCTCGCTGTGCTTGCTCTCCACAGAAGCGAATCTTTTCGTAGCCAGACTTGTGCTTGCCGTCGCCTCCTGCAAGGTCCGCGAAAGTCACCTCCTCTGCATCTGCCCTCCAAGTGTGTGAAAGTATCGCATAACAGGGTATCGCGTCATCGTCGAAGCTAGTAATCGTAAGGCGGCCATCTCCTTCGTACTTGAGAAGCCGCATCGACTCGTGTGGGTGTGTGGTGGCCGCGTGGTGGGAACGAGACAAGGCTTCACGCGGCAGCCTGATGGGAGCGTAGCAACTAACTTTCCTGCTCCTTTTCTAGGTCAGCTCGCAGAAGGGAGGATAAAGAGCTAGTACTAAGGTAGGCAGGTCTATAGCAGACTGGAAGCTGCAACGATGTTTAACCTAGAGGTAGCGCTTGTTGTTGCATTCTTGATGTAGTGACGGCGTCGCATTAGACTTTAGGCGGGGAAGGCGTGGCTGAACGTGCGCGCAGCATACTAGCCGCAAGGCTGTCCCGCAGCGTTGAAGGCGGCATCACGAAGACGATAGATGGGCTCGTTGGCGCTACAAGCAAAGTGGCAGAGCGCTGAGCCGCCCTGCATCATAACTAGCGAGAAGGAGAGAAGTGCCTAAGTGCACAGTGGGTGCACGAGGGCAGACACTTGACAGCCAGCACAAGCCACAGTTATTCTTAGCAGTCTACCTGCTAAGGGCATAGTGTCAGATTCGTTACGACACGATACACAGATACCTCAGCACGCTACTGCAGGCTATCCGCGTGCCAAGTGCTGCTAACAGCGCACGTCCGGTCAGACCTGTTTTGACGATCTTGCCATCTGCGCGGAGAAACTGCCGGGACCTATCCTCTTTACCCTAAATCGTCCTTTCGAGGCTGCAGTCTTGATCCTCGCTATTTTGGCTTTCTTTCTGGCCCACCGACCCTTTCGCAGATATGTACTGTCGCGAATCAACAGGGGAGTGTTATAGGAGAGTCGGTGACAGCGTTGGCAGAACGAGCGACAGCACAGTTAACGACGCGCTTTTCGACGTCGGAGACTGATGTGCTAAGAGAACGAGCGCTGCAGAATAGATGCGCGTTGCATTTATTTGTATTCAAGAACACTAGGGGTAATCCGAGGGTCCGGAAGAGAAAGCGTCCCGTTACACCGTGCGTCCCGGCACACTTTACAACTTTTGGTAATGTGTTCATAACAAGAGCCCAGGATGAATAGAACTTCTTAGCCTGAGTAAATGATGCAAAGACGCAGTCAATCAGCTGATTGCATCACTTCCCTTTTGTGGGATGTATCACGTCAAGACAAGTAAACATTCAGTCAGGAATTGCCACCACAAGCAGGGAGGACAGCCGACCCGCACCGGCCATAGGCTTGCTATGGGCGGGCGCACTGGATGGCGTCGCGAAGAGATATAAGGGCCATTCTCGATGATAGGACGGCATGCAGCTTTAGAGAGCGTAGTACCATAGTAAGCATAGCTACCATCAGATCTCTGCTTTTCCCTTACCCAGCGCTCATGAGTATGGAAGATCCGAACTCCTCATCATCCTTGGAGATTAAACTGTAGCACCTTTCTACGGCTCTAATAATTGCAGTGCTCATGCAAGGAGCCATTCGTTGTACAACCGTACGACAACTGCATCCCCAAAATATGCAGACCCTCTCCCCCTTCGAGCGCGCGTGCAACGACGGCGTCTTTCTAGTAGCACTCACTACGCTTGCCGAAGCCTAGACTTAGATCTTAGTACTCTGTATCATGCCAGATAGCCCCTGTTTCCTGCCATGCCTGCTGTGTAAGACCTGCCCACCCTGTCCTTTGGACGCCACATAACTCATAACTTTTTTTTCCAACCAGCTAAAACAGTATTCGGCTACGGCTTAGTATATGTATCAATCGCGATGTGCTCGAGGAGTACGAGGGCGTGGTGGGTCGGACGAGGAATCAACGGCAGGTCTGCAGAGCTTTAGGGCGGTGCGACAGTTTATCTCTATAACATGCAAGCTTTGGCGTTAGCTGTAGTCATGCATTGCATTACATTTTGAAGTTGCATGATAGCTATA